GGGGGAACCCCGGCTCCAGCCGCTCCGCGCTGCTGCTGCTCCTCGCGCCCCCTTCGCCTTGAGGGAGTCGAGCCGCCGCTGAAGGCGGGGGCGGCGTCCAAAACACAGAACTCGTCTGGAGATGCTACAGTTCGCGTTCAGGTTCCCTCGCGCGAGGCCTTTTTTCAGCCTGCGGCTGGGAGAGAAGCAGCGGAGCGGCGGCTCTCGCCGCGGAGGGCCGTACCCCCGGCGGTGCCCGACGGCCCCCGGTCCGCAGGCCGGCCGGGCAGGCGTTCCTGCTGGAGCGTGGCCTGCGTCTCGCCCCGTGGGAGGCAGGCCGGGGAGCTCGCCCGCCCCGCGCCGCGCCGCGGGTGTTCGTCGCACCCCGAGGAGGAGGGCCGCTGGAGGCGCGGAGGGACGCAGGCGTTCTGCCGAGCTGGCAGGCTTCTGCGAATTTTGGGTTTATTGCTGCGGAGGAGTGGAAAGTACTGCTGCGCCGCCGCTGGCCGGCTGCTCAACTTTAAAACTTTCTGTTCTCTCGCTGATCCGCGCGTCTTCGGGTCAGGCGGGTAGGCGAGAAGAACCAAGGTCAATGTTTTAAATGGTTTAACGTGGTCCTTGAGACAACAGTGTGGACTGTTTATAAACCAGACAACGTGTCATAACATTTGGAAAATGTTGGTCCGAGAAAGAAGCTGCTTCTAACTTGCCAAGGGAGCAGATCAAGCAACGTTTTACAAGTTGTTAAAGTAGAATACGGCAGCTAAAATGACCATTTAGCTGTTGGTCACCTGCAGAATTATGAAGTGGTTAATCTTTAAATAGGACATTTTCCCACTGTTTAATCTCAGGCCTGTGGCTTTCAAGTTCATCTTTAGCTTGATAGATTTGGGACAGAAGACTGAACGGTCCTGTCAGTGACTTAAGATTCAGGTGTTTACTTAATTCACAGAAAGAGTCTGTTGCCCAAGATACCGGGGTAGTTCACAGACTTCACAAAGAATAACTGGAGTACGCAGGTGTACCCAAGCAGAAACTGACAGTGAGGTTGGAATTAATAAATAGCAATTCTCCACTTTAATTAATGGGTTTCCTTCTCAGAACTGAAGATTTCTCACGTTCCTGGCGAATCTCTGGCAGGAGGAATACAGGGGCTGGTTTTTTTACTAAGGAATTACCTAGTTGTTTATTAACTTGTCTGGTAAAACCACTCCTTTCTACCTTGATACTAAAGCTTGAGGTTTCCACTGAAGAAGCCATCAAAGAACAACTCTGAAGAAAGTTGTTCTCATGTTTGAAGAAGATGCACACTATGCAAAGGTTGTAATTCTGCAGGGAAAGTGAACTGATCTGCATATTCTGTTAGACTGCATGTTTTCAGAGAGCAGCTTGTCAAGAGAAACATATCTGGTATTTGGCAGTAACAGGGGTTGCGGTCTTCTACAACCATTAAGGACCAAGGTTTGTTTTGTTGACAATCTGCCTCCAATTTCTCAATCCAAAATTATCTCAAGGCAGAGATGATTATAACAGTGAGTGGGGTCTTCTCTGTACCCTATTGATAAAGTTTTTCCTCCCTTTTAGTATTCTCAAGAAATTGTCTCTCTGCTTTCCTTGCTTTCTCACACTGTCAGGATAACGTAACCTCTGCTAAAACGTATGGCTGAAAGCCAGGAGTTTGTAATTTCTGATTCTGCCACGTGAAAAGCACTTCTGTATGAGAAAAGCTTTAACTGACTCCTTGGCACTTTTGTGTTCTCATTGAGTATTCTTAAGATCATTGGATAGTAGAGGCTGCGCGAGCATGTGTTTGAATTGCAAGGAGACGGTATGACCTTTTGCCTTTTTTCTTCTTTCCTGTCCATGTAAATATGGTAAGAGTGAGGTGGGAAAAGGGAGACCTTAATTTTTCTAAGAGTTTTTTGCCAACTGGTCTGTGATGGTGTAATTGTAAATGGATAATCAGTGAAGCATCTCTTACAAATGTGCTTGATACTGATTTTTCTTCTGAAGACTGGAGGGTCTTGCTTCACCATTGCTTTACCATCGCAAGTGATCAGCAACAGATGAAGTGTTAAGAGTGCAAGTCCAAGCTTGGTTTCAATATTTTTTTTATGATTCAGTTGTTTTTATGAAACGGCCATAGTGAAAATTTTAAAAAATAGAAAAAAAAAAAAAAAAGAAATGTACAGTTGCAGACTGACACTTGGTTAAAGCTATACTGCTGCTGTCCAGAGGCAGTCTGGCATTTCTTTATTTTCTGGATTAGTGAGGCAACTTGGATGAGAATAGCACCATGCTTTTCTTCAGGAGATATCTCTATTTTTCATTTCAGCTAGCTTTATAGGAGTAGGTGGTGTGGGCACAGGAGAATCTTAAGTCTCCAGGTGCAAGGTTAGATGTAAAAGTTTGCAGAAGGAAAGCTCCTAAGTTGTGTGACTTTAAAACAGTCAGTGGAACCATGTTTTAACATCTGTTTTTCACAGTTATTATACTACAACTCTGTTAGTTCAAGAATTCTGAAAATGAAGATAGGCTGTTGCTAACTAACAAGAGCAACATAAATTAATGAATAGTGAAGTAACAGATAATGAACAGCTGATTTTTAATAGGCTGTTGCAGTGTGAGAAAGTGACATACGTTTGAAATTAATTGAATACCAACCAAAAAGACAACCCAATAGTGCTGTCTGTAGCTGAGCCAGTGTTTGTACCAAGTACGTAGTAAGGAGAGTCTGCAGACTGTTCAGGTCTGTGCAGAGTCCTGTAGTGGCAAACATTTCACTGCTGCATTATCGCCTTCCTATTGTTGCAGGGACATGCTCATGGCCTAACAGCAGAGTTGTGTTACACTCTGTCCTGGGAACACAGGGCTAGCCATCCCTTATGCTACCCACTCACCCTGCCAGCATTCCAGTTTTGGTCCCCACAGCCCTTTTTCCTTACAAGATCCAAGGATCACAGCTGAGCCAGTTGCTTTTTTCAAGACAGCTGTTTGTTCTCTAGCCATAGCTGCAGAACTCAGCTGCCTCCAGGCGCAGGTAGCATTCTGCAGACAGCTCGGGGGAGAAAATGGGTTTCTTTTTGCTTTTCCTTCAAGTTGTTTGAGACCTTTATCCCTTCTCCTCTGCCCCAACTGTGTGCAGGTTTTTATGATGTTTCTAGTAAAGTGCGTAAGTCTTGATTCAATGTGCTTTAGCTCTCTTCTGCCTAATTCATTTCTTAGTGTATTGTCTGCCCCAACACAAATCTATATACTTGGCTGTTTTATGATACTGCTGTTGAATCTTCTTTTTTTTTTTTTTTTTAACTTTCAGGTTGCAGCAGCCAGTGGTCACACTGTGGTGTTAGTAGACCAGTCAGATGAAATCCTTAAAAAATCTACAAAAGGAATTGAAGAGAGTTTGAAGAGAGTGACAAAGAAGAAGTTTGCAGATAAGCCTGAGGTTGACATCTTCTTTATTCCTCTAGGAGAACTTAGGAGAATAAAAACTGCCATACTGAAGTTCTGATATTGTTTACAGTTATACATTATAGAGCATGTTAATATACTGGCTTAAAACTTTCTCCAGTGTGCTGAAGAACTTGGATTTTCTTTTTTTTGATTCAGGGAGGTTGAAAGATGTCTTACCTTATTTTCTTTCCTTTGTAGACTTCAGCCTTGAGATAAAGATTTAAAACAACTTGGTGACCTTTTAAAACAGATGCTAAATGTGAAATGGTGCCAAATTATTCATCCAAACTTAATAGCAAGCTATCTTTGAGTGCTTACCTGGGAATGCACCGATTTTTGTCCAAAAGCAAATAGTAACAAAATTGTCTGAATACCTCTGTAAGGAGTCTCTCTGCCTGCCCTCCCCCCCCGCCCCCCC